AAAAAAACAGATGTTAAGGCAACACAAGACAGAAGGGATAAAAGTTTATCCTGAATATACGAGCCGAGATGCGGATCTGAATCTAACTGCTTCTCAGCCTGGTACTTTACTGACTATGGAGTTTACAATAAAAAATCTGAACCGGTCGACAGATGAGCATTTGTACTATCTGCGAATAGACTATCGAACTAGTCCAACCGACAGCGACAGTGATGATTCATCTGACTTGAGTCTCACAGTCCTTGGTAAGTGTTTTAAAATACTTTTAATCATAAACTTTGGTCCATCCGTTAGACTATATATTGTTATAGTTCTTCCCTGTTTTACATCGATAAAAAACCTAGCTCTTGGACCGGTATATTTTATAAAATCGCAAGGTTTTACAGAACAAAAGGTAATGACTCTACTGACAACGGTGTTTTCAATCAAAAACATGAATCGATTGATTGATGAGCATGTGTACTATTTAACAATTCAATAACTCATTAATAATTCATAAGCCTTTGGTCCAGTTGGAGCCACCGCATATGTCACGTGCATGGACCTTTAAAGAACTCTACACTGAGGACACTAGTATTCTTTATATAAAGAATACTAATAAGGATGACTTTATCAGAGATAAAGGTATTTCCAAATTTAGATGAAGACGTAGAGTCTCATCAAGGTCTGTCTTACATACGATCACCGACGACCCACGAAATCTAATAGCGCAGCGCGCTGATTCTAAAAATAGCTTAAAAATTCGGACAAACATTGCATTCTGTTTAACTGCTACGAGGATTATACGAACCGATTTTATTATTTTTACTTAAAGTTACAATAATAACCCATGTAAACTAAGATCAACTGCGATCGGCTGTGAAAATTATCTGCTGAAAGTAAACTTGTAAGTTTGTTTGTCCGAATTTCGCCTTTGTCTTCGTTTTTATGACGATACAGCTGCGCTGCGCTATTGACTAGCGATCCTGTCTTGAGACTAGCATGCTGTCTTTAAAATGTGGGAGCCTTTATTGGGAATGACTGCACATGATAGTGACGTATAAACCTCAACTGCGCACGACAGGTACATACGAACTGCTATCGATGTATAAAAGTCCATGCTCGTGACGTGTATGGTGGCTCCAATTGGACCAAAATCTTATGAATTGTTCATGAGTTTTTGAAGCCATTTAAAAAATTCGTAGATCGTGTTTTATGTAGTGTTTAAAAGACGAGTAGGAGTGTTTTATCAGGTATAAAAGCTCGAGGCGTAGCCGAGTGGTTTTAGACCTGATAAAACACGATCTACGAGTTTTTTGAACTGCTTCAAAAACTAGTAGGTTCGATGTGAAGTTCAACGTTTGATCTGAGCCTCACCTTCCAGAGCTAATAAAAGGTAAAGGCTATTTGGTGTACTTCGAAATTGCAGGATGTGGTTGCCCAATTCTCACGAGCCAGGATTATTATTTATGTGTACAGCTTATGTATTCTTCAAAGCGCAAGGACGCTTAACAGAGATTACAAAAGAAATCGTATTATAATTACTAATGAAATAAGATGTTAAAGCGTTCGAAGGCGAGCCCTTTTTACGAGTATTTAAAGCTAAAACTACAAATAACGGAGAGAAGTGAGTCGAAGCAGACGTTGGTAGATCCCGAGGACCGAGCCGTGCATTTTAGCTCTACTAACCATCTTTATTTTTTAAATTTCTAAGGAGGAAAAGAAAACTTTCTTTTTTGTGTTTAAGGTACCGTGTCGATGATTCCAATTTTATCGTTTTTGCTTGTTCTAGTGCCTACCACAATAACCAGTCCAAACCCAACTACTGTCACTGTTAACGAAACACAGACTGCACAACTTGAATGTACTGCAACTGGTAACCCCGCACCCAGTTTTAAATGGACAAGAGATAGTGTGATCGTTGGCACAGGAAGCCCATACACTACACCAACAGTTACATCTAACGACGACAAAGCGTGTTACTATACTTGTGTAGCTTATAATGGAATCCTTGATGCCAAGACTGCTAACTTCTGTCTAATTGTTCAATGTAAGTATGGAGCTTCTTAAGGCAAACTATCAAAGTATCCAATCACTTTTGTGTAAACTTTACTTTTACAAATACAAGAACAAGTTTCTCAGTTAAGAATTATTTTTAATTTGATTTAGGAATTCTCTTTTCCCCCCTCTTTTTTCCAAACTGAATTTATTTTTCTTATTTCTTATCCTTTGTTTGTTTGTGATGAATGCACAATTTCATGTAAAATAAAATTTCGTCCTCACGAATTTGTAATGAATTGCACGTACTATCAAGATTAGAGTTTGATAATGACGGTGTTCCATTTCTAGACAAACCAAAAAACGCAACAATTTTGATTGAAAGATCAACAGTTTGCCAGAATGATAAGTTGAATCTGACCTGTACATCAGGACCAGCCAACCCAGCACCCAGCAGTTACGAGTTTTATGACAATGGTGTTCTTGTTGGAACCAGTGCATCCAACGTTTATGAAGCTACAGCTACTGCAGGCTTACCATCTGTAAACAAGTTTGTTTGTGTACCAAGAAATCTTCTGGGACCCTCCTTGGAAAATGGAAGTGTGGAAGTGACTGCAAAAGGTAGTTTTATAATATTTCTTTAAATTTCCGAAGAACGGATAATCGCCAAAAAGCCCGACGAGGAAAAAAGTAGTGTTTAGATCGCTAAGTT